GGCCAGGCTCCGAGGTTGACTCTGTTGGTGAAAGAGGTGGCGCTGGAACCTAGCCGCTCCACGGTTGGGGTCTTCTCCGAGTCCCACGGCGCCGTTCGGGCCTTTCTTTATGGCGCCGCGGTCGAGGGACGGCAGCTGCGGGGGCCGCTGTTGTCGATGGACCGCTGTTGTCTAGGACGGCAGCTGTGGGGGCCGCTGTTGTCCAGGACGGCAGCTGTGGCCTGTGGGGGCCGCTGTTGTCTAGGACGGCAGCTGTGGGGGCCGCTGTTGTCTAGGACAGCAGCTGTGGGGGGCCGCTGTTGTCTAGGACAGCAGCTGCGGGGGCCGCTGTTGTCCAGGACGGCAGCTGTGGGGGCCGCTGTTGTCCAGGACGGCAGCTGTGGGGGCCGCTGTTGTCCAGGGCCTCGTTTCATAAAGCGAGTCCGTAACTTACGCCGGTTTTTGGGCTTGTATTGCAAGTGCATGTGAAGCGATAAATTTATTTCCCCTTTTCCCTTCTGTTCTTGCTTGCAAGACAAATAAACTCAACGATTCAAATTATCGTCATCGCTTCACATGCACTTGCAATACAAGACCAAAAACCGGCGTAAGTTACGGACTCGCTTTATGAAACGAGGCCCAGGACGGCAGCTGTGGGGCCGCTGCTGTCTATGACGGCAGCTGTGGGGGCCGCTGTTGTCTATGACGGCAGCTGTGGGGGCCGCTGTTGTCCAGGACGGCAGCTGTGAAGGCCGCTGTTGTCGAGAGACGGCAGCTGTGGGGCCGCTGCTGTCTATGACGGCAGCTGTTGGGGCCGCTGCTGTCTATGACGGCAGCTGTGGGGGCCGCTGTTGTCTAGGACGGCAGCTGTTGGGGCCGCTGTTGTCTATGACGGCAGCTGTGGGGGCCGCTGTTGTCTATGACGGCAGCTGTGGGGGCCGCTGTTGTCCAGGACGGCAGCTGTGGGGGCCGCTGTTGTCCAGGACGGCAGCTGTGGGGGCCGCTGTTGTCCAGGACGGCAGCTGTGGGGGCCGCTGTTGTCTAGGACAGCAGCTGTGGGGACCGCTGTTGTGTAGGACGGCAGCTGTGGGGGCCGCTGTTGTCCAGGACGGCAGCTGTATGGGGCCGCTGTTGTCTAGGACAGCAGCTGTGGGGACCGCTGTTGTCTAGGACGGCAGCTGTGGGGGCCGCTGTTGTCCAGGACGGCAGCTGTCGGGGCCGCTGTTGTCTAGGACGGCAGCTGTGGGGGCCGCTGTTGTCCAGGACGGCAGCTGTGGGGGCCGCCACGGCACGGGCCGGCGACAGGAGAGCGACGCTCATAACTCATTCATAGGCATGGCATGGCATGGCCGAACTGCGGCCGGGTACAGTGGTGCTCGCTGTCGGCCGATTTAAGTTGTAAGTGTTCTGCAGCATAAACCATACGTGTCACTGAATTGGCGAGCTGCAGCTGCAGTCTGCCGGCGACTGCTGCTCATTGTTCCGGGAATGGCCGCCTAATGCAAGCATGTCCTAGCGGCAGCGGCGTGTGCTCCGACGTCGGCCGTGGAGAGGGCCACCCTTGGGCCACCCAGCCTCCATCGTGGTCGGCAGGACCCTGGCGGCTCACTGGCCCTCAGATCGTTAGGATCGCAGCTTGATGAATGACTATATAGGGCCTTGGATGGATGGATCTGAGTACAAATACTCAACATGGCTGCCACTGATCTCAGGGCGCGAGCCATCAGCCCAGGGCTCTGGCCTTTCACTGAGCCGAGGACTGTCAATGACTCCTCAGTCTGTGACTGTCTCGGAGTCCAGAGCTGCCACTGATCCCAGGGTGACGTATTTCGGCCTCAGCTATCTGCATGCAGCTAGAGGCCTCGGATTGTTGCCATCATAACATGCTGGCATTTGCGGCTCCCGGCCGACGCTTCCCGGTAACATTGAAATGTCCAAGCGTGAATAATGTAGGATGCACGGCCGATCACAATCGTCCTGTCCCCGAGCCGTCAGGGGGCGCCGGGAGCGCCCAGGCTGGAGCCGGCGGCGGCCCAGGCGGGCTCCGGCCGGCGCGGGCTGCAGCTCCAGAGCGCTGAATAGTGTCGGACGGCTGCGGCGGTGTATGTGTTACAGGCCGTATGAAAACTCAACGCCTTTTCAACAAAAAAAAAACGAAAATATTTGCAAAAAAGTCCGCTATTCCTTCTCAGATAAGTGAAGAAACTACCGTTTTGGCAGCCTGGAATAAAGGTTTTAATCTGCCAAATGAGTTGCCGAGCCAGTGAAAGAGGTGGATTTTTCACTAACATGTTTTCTTCCTTTGCAACCCACAACCCCTAATTAGTGGAGGACAAGCTGCCCCAACGGTTCCTGACCTCATGAAAAGTTGTGGGGCACCGCCCCCACGGCCCCAGAGCTGTAGGGGCAAGCTTCCCCCACTGCCCCCTCCCCCGGTTCCCGCGCCTATGTATGAATCTATGAAATTATGTTGGTAGATTTCAGATTTCGATTCCTCCAGCGGGGGGGGGGGGCTCAAATACATTACGAGCCCCCCCCCCCCAGCCAAAAAGTTGGAGGGGCTCAGCCCCTGCTGGCCCCCCCCCCCCCCCCCCGGTTCCCGCGCCACTGATGTGAACTCTGATGTCCATTGCTCGCTCCGGCGTTTTATGCCGCAAAATAAAATCGGTGAGTCTTGTAGTGATACGTTTCACCAGACCTCACCAGCAGTGGCTTCACCAGACTCTATCAACTGGATGGCCGTACACAGGCGGACCGTGAACTTGTATAATTAGTAATATTGTCGAAAAACGGCCGGGCCGAGCATCAGCACAGTAAGAAAATGTTCGACGTATGTAGACGAGTCATTCGGCATGGAATGCCCAAACATCCACATGGATGCAACCTGATCATCGACCAACCTGGATCCATTAAGTTCAATCTTCAGAGGCTGTTGTAGTTCGCCAGACCGTTTGAAAACTGACTAGGCCGTTTTCAAACTGTTTAGGCCGTTTCAAACTGCCTAGGCCGTTTTCATACGGCCTGATATTTCAGGCGGTTTGCAAACGGCCGGCTTTTTCAGGCCGTTTTCAAACGGCCTGACTGGGCCAGGCCGTTTGCAAACGGATTGGGTTTTCATACGGTCTGTAACATATGCACTATCGCTTCCAACTTAACCCTTGCACTTTTGGGGGGTCAAACGGACCCCCCCCCTTGGTTTCCGACAATAACTCGCGCCTAAAGTCCCTGAGGTAATGAAAGGTCTTGAAAGGTCTCCAGCATTTTTTGACAAATTTTGATAGCCCTACATGTTAGAGCGATTAAATCACCTTAGGTTCAGGTCGACACTACGGATCGGCTGGTATGCAACATGACCTTTTCCGGTCAGGTTGTGACCCAGCCCCTCCCTCCCCCAGATCCACTAGTGCACATAATAATAGGGTAGACCGGGGCAAGTCGCCCCGCCGAGGTAAAACGCCTCACCGATGTTTCTCGGAACTGGCAAGGTTCTGGGGAAACATCCTCTCTTCTCTAAAACGTGCACTATACGATCATTATATGAGCAGACTGGAAAGAAATTGTGATGACGCTTTAGGGAGATATAGCCAAAAATGTGTTTTTGGAGTGATTTTTATGTTTTGTTGTCAGATTATGCATCATGGCGTTCTTTTATCGTCCACATCAGGTTAACGACTTTTATGTATTTTGAACGACTATTGTCTAACGCTTATAATGCCGGGTTGGTTCGTGTTAAATTATGTCTTCCTGGAGTGCAAGGCGTTGTTCTCTGACCGTACTACGTGATGGGGTAAAACGCCCCAGTAGGTCGCGGGGCAAAAAGCCCCATGGGGCGTTTTACCTCATGTGTTGTTCGGACTACCCACTTCCTAATGTTCGGTAGCTGGCGAACGGCATGTTTCTATGCATTTATATGTACTTTTCTCAGCAACTGGATGGCAAAGGAAGTATTTTGTTAACATTTGCATTGCAATAATTTATTATTTGGCCTTCTGAGGCAGGTGAAAAAACTGCTCACACAATAGTGTCGTAGCTGAACACCTGATAGGATGGAAGGTGCTAACTTCAGTGCCGTGCCTCCCAAGGTCTAACGGACCTCTCATATAAGATTTAGTCAACTAGCATGTTTAATCTTTAATCTAGAGTATGGGGCTTCTTGCCCCAGGCCGTGGGGCGTTTTGCCCTGGGGCTGGGGCAAAACGCCCTATTTGCAGTTGCTTCACAAATCACTTCCTAGCTGGGAGTCCGATCATAAGTGAATGAATTTGAGGGGTGGAATTTAAAGTAAAATGTCCAAAGAACGCATTGAGCACAAATTTGGCCTTCCAGGTGATGTGGGACAAAAGTTATGTAGCAAAATAAATTATCTGGGGCGTCTTGCCCCAGGCTACCCTACAACAGGATTGCAAAAAAGATTGCGGATTTGATCACAATCCAAGTGAAAAAAGGGGATTGCGGGTAGGAATGCAATCCACTTCGGCACTAGGAATGTGGATTGGGAATGCAATCCTTTCAAAAAGGATTTTACCGATGCCTGCCTAGATCCGATGAGAAAACTGGATTCGGGGGTACCTTAGGTTTGGCATCTGGACCTCTGGCCTTAGAGAGATTGAAAATTCCTTAGAGGAGCCCCTGCAGGCCCGCCAACCTCACGCAGTCGAAATACACTGACCCCCGCTGCGGCCGATCCTTCAAACGATGATGCGTATCGAGCGGCGAGCCAAGCGCACTGACTGCCCACCTCGTTTCCCTCTAGCGGGAGAGACGCCAACCGGCTCATCTTCTGGCCGGCGCTCCGCGGATCGGATGTGATGTGGCTGCCCCGCTGGCCGCTGGCGCTGCGGCCCCTCAAATCGCAATCAAGGAGATCGCAATGGCATTCCACGATTGAGAGCGGCGCGTCACGCGCGCCGTGGCCAGGTCGGCTCCCTCCGCGCGCCGCAATTAGGTCGCCAACATTAGATCGGTCCAAGTGTGTCGGCCGGTCGGCGGCGGCGGCGGCAGCAGGCGGCGCGGCCGGCGCCGCACTTGGCGAGCGTCGCTGGCGGGAGTGAGGAGGAGTGGGTACGCTGCCGGCGTGTCTGTGCGTGTGGTGGCGGCGGCCCGGCCGCTGGGCCTACAGTGACCGAGCGAACAGAGAGCGAACGAACCGGCCGACCCGGCGGTCCCAGTCGGAGTGACCGGCGCTGGACGGCGGTCCCAGTCGGAGTGACCGGCGCTGGACGGCGGTCCCAGTCGGAGTGACCGGCGCTGGACGGCGGTCCCAGTCGGAGTGGACGGCGGTCCCAGTCGGAGTGACCGGCGCTGGATCCCAGCCAGGTGGGTGCCGTGCTGCGACAAAGATTGTGATGTGATTTGGCATTGTGCTTCAGCTGTGTTTCGCGAGTCCGATAGGTGGCTAACCCAGATCAGGATACGGGATGTTGAGATGCATCCCCTTGGGGTGCCGACGGCTCTCCTCGGTAACCCCTTCACATTTTGATTTGTCGCATCCAGCATCGGTGTCTAGGTCTACAAATAAAATAGGCCAATGGATATCATGAGAAATGTACCTACCTATATCCTGTTGTGGACTCAGTGCTTCCATTTGACCCTATGCCTCTGGCGGGTCACTGGCGGGCGGCCGTTGCACTATGGTTGGAAACGGCCTCACGGATGGCCGTGGGCAATTTCGGAATATATGTATATTTGGGGTGTCATTCTGTTGGAAATTGATGAAATGTTTTGAATTGGGCAGAAAAAATTATTTAGTTGCGCATTTAGTCTCCATTATTGTACGTGGAATCGGGAGTTTCTGATAGTGGCTTTTTTAGTGCGCCGTCAAAGGTTTAAACAACCGCGCTGGTGATAGCATGTGGAGTACCTCCATGACGTTGTAAAACTGGATTATTATATATCAAAATAATCCTTGTTATGTTGGCTATCGAGTGGAGTGACTCTTTTTCCCATGCGTGTTCAAAATCAGGAACGGCATTGCATTCTGTTTGCAGTGTCACCACAGCAATATTTGCAAAATTACGTTTATGTTTCATTGGACATACAAAAAGTTCTCCATCGACCTCCATTGAGCTTTTTGGCAGAATAAGTCTCTGTTCAATTCTGCGTAAGGGGAACGTAAAAGCAGACTGCGCACTTGTGCGCAAAATCGTCCGTGAAGCTTCATCACCCGAGGCGTACCTACCCGTCGCTTCGTTAGCACCAGGTCGGCTCGTCAGTCTTGCAATCGCTTATCCTTATAAATGATGGTAAGAAGCAGGGTTGCGGAGTCGTGGTGGCGCCAAATCCGACTCCGACTACGACTCCGACTCCTGACTCGTTGCCATGACTCCGGCCGACTCTGTCTCCGACTCCGGACCCCTGCCAGTGTTTCGGAGTCGTGATGGAGCTGTTCCGATTCGGACCGACTCCGACTTCCACTGCGGGCTCCTGACCGACCCCGACTCAGACTCCGACTCCTGGCTCGTTGCCACGACTCTGGGCGACTCTGACTCTGACTCCGACTCTGACTCCGACTCTGACTTCGACTCCGCACCCCTCGTAAGAAGTAACTGCTCGCCGCTGCACCTGGAGTATGGATATCGTGCAAACGTGTGTGGATATCCTGGAGTATGGATATGGATATCCACCGACAGAGCAGACATACAGACATGCTGTAAACGCCATTACACTGTAAATACCATGGCAAATCAAATGGCTATCTATGGTTTTTGATCGTCGTTCTACATTTCCCAAAATCTTGAACTGAATGTTGGCAATTTCTCGTGACTACTTCACGACCATGATGCATGCATTTCTGAAATTGATCTGTTTTCAACCAGCCACGTACTCGTATGATAAAATGAATGTCACCATCGTGTTCTACGCCCAAAAGTACCCATAAAACATGTGTCATGCATGGGCTGCGAATAGGTACCAGTTTTAATTTTCGGGGTTATGTGCTTACCTGATTGACCTGACTTTGACCCTGGCCAGTGGCCTATGTTTGACTGACCCCTACATTGATCTCACACTCTTTTAGCACTTATATGAAGGGTTGTGACAGTTGTGACAGTTGTGACAGATTGTTTAGGACCAACTGATGACTGAATTTATTTAGGACCAACTGATGAGTGATGACGATATAATCGAAACGCGAAACGCGAGGCACCGATTGCGAGGTTCTACAGTCCGTGCTACTGAAAGCCCGATTTCAAGTGTTTGACCTGACCTTGACCCGACCTGTGACCTCGAAATTCAACTGTAAAGTATTCATGTGAATCGTCTCGTCGCGTTCTTCTTTCGTTTGCCGCGCCTCGTGCGTTTCGCTGCGCCTATTTGTTCGCGAGTTATCGGCTGGGGGCGTTGAACGCCCCCCCCCCCCCCCGGCAACGGTGGATGGGGAAATACCCCAGCAACTGCCGGGTTAATCTGATCTGACGCATGTTTTGTCATTTGATCGTCATTTTATTTCTCACTTTTTTGCCCAATCCAAAAAAAAAATCATAAATACTCTTTCTCCAAATTTTTTACCCTTAATGACCAATAGTAAGACACTGTGCGTCACTACGTTGATATTTCTCGCCCTAAAGCATAACAACAATATCCATTCAGTAATAGCAGTATTCAAAACATGTTCAAAATGCCTCGCGATATCGATAACATAACGAAAGACATAGGCGACTTATAACATACTTGCAATGATGACGTCACACACGCGTGACGTGACGTGACCTCGTCATTTCTGAGTTACTATATGATGCACGAAAGACACTGGTAGACCTATGCAAAGTTTCATCGCAGTCGGTCTACGCATTAGCAAGTTATGGGCAAAACATTTTTTCGCGTTGACCCCCGGCCATCCGTGAGGCCGTTTCCAACCATAGTGCGTTGGCCCGGCCCTACTCCTGCAGTCCGTCCGCTATGAGCCGCCCTGGCGGCGGTGCCTGGAGTCGGATGCACGACTGAACAGTGAACACCACGGCATTACCACAGGCCGGCCGGTCCCAGTCGCGCCGCTAAACCTTTCCGACATTGCTTTTACTCTACTTACACGCATAGGTACTGAGTAGGTACTGACCTTGACTGGCTGCCCGCCGTCCAAACTCTCCGAGACATGGATATTCGCGGCTTAGGCGCAACCAGCTCTAGGAGCGTCAACTCATGAGAGGATACTTCTGCCCGGCCCCTGTAACCCGTGTCCGTGGTCGGGCGGAGAAGCTGTTGGCGGGAACGTGATTTCCTACAGCTTGGTAGTATTTTACGCCTAAGAAGCTGCACCCTCTAGAAATGGAGGTGGTTTTATTGAGATCGGAAGGCGTATTAGCGTCAGTTGTATAATTTCGTTTGTTAAAGGGACCATCCCACCTTAACATTAGTTTGAGTTAAGATAGCCAAATTTGGGTCCCTGGCTTGCACTTCCACGTACCGGTTTGGCTCAGTGCTCGCGAGGAATGGGGTCTGAGGCCCGGCACATTTGGCCGGTGGTCACCGATCCGGGGATGCCGCAGCAGTGCGGCGCACCGACGGACCGACCGGGCCATCGGCGGACGTTCGGCCCAGTCCGGCGGGATGTGTTCGCGAACCCGACCGCCCCCCCCCCCCCCCTCCGAGAAGTGCGGGGGCGATTGGCGGTGGCTGTGGCAACTCGGTGGCGGCTGGGTGACACCGGCGCCCACGGTGGGCCTCGAGTCAGGTGGACCTGGTCTCGGCATGGGGCTGTTCGGCCGCCGCTCCGAGGGCACGTGCGGAGCATATGACCAACCATACGGACCCGGTGAGGTTCCGGCGCTAGGTCACCGTTACGGGTCCGCGCCAGAGCTGCCACGTAGGGGAGAGATGGGCAAAGCGGCCACCCGGGGCAAAACGGCCACTCATCGTTTTAGCCCTCCACAGCTGGCGTCAGCTCCAATTTATGATTGCCAATTATACTTCTCTTCACGGTCGTTCGAATGAGCCAGACCGGGGTTTCCGTCCCATCGCCGTTGTTCTGTGATACACGGAAAAGCATTTCTTGCCAGGTTACTAACTATTTTTACGATTTTTAAATGTTGTTTCATAGCAAAACCGTATGAAATTTTATTTAAGCGATCTTGTTCATGCATTGCATCGTTATTGGAGATGTCTGTTACCAATTTTAATGCTTTTTGCCCCACTAATAGCTGAGCTGGGATATTTTTGTCTCGGACAGTATGCTTGGGGCAAAGTAGACGGGGCAAAGTGGCCAGCTCCGAATTGGCCATAAGTTGTTTCTTCCTGGACAACAAACGTTTTTGATATTGAAATGTGTCGTCATGCATTCATCTCGCCCACTTTTTGGTTACATTAGTTACCAAATGATGCAATGAAATATTTTTCCATGAATATCCTTTCTTTCTTTGCCTACAGGTGGGAAGATGACCGATTAAACATCCATCTTCGTTTGAGCCTTGTCACCATCAAATACCCTATCCGTACATGAGGCAATTATTCTGTTTCTCAGAGCTGGGCATTGCGCAACTTAGGTCCGCAACTCCGCAACTCCGCAACTAGCGGACTACCCTCATGGGAGCGGAGTTACGGATCGGCTACCGAGCCCCAAAAAGTTGCGGAGTTGCGAGTTGCGGAAGGGAAAAATTCTAAAGCGCAACCGCTACCGGGGCCGCCAACGAGATACGGGATTGAAGCGAGATACGGGTTCCAGGACAAGTTCAATGTGTTTATCTCGTCAAGACTAATCAATTGATATGCAGCATGGCCTATTTGGGTCAGGTCGTGACCTTCAACTGAGGTCAAATTTTGCATTTGACCTTTCGAGGTCATCTTATATATCATTGATGGCCTCGAAACGACGCACCTTGGTGGAGAAATGCTATGGCGATTAGATTAATGACCTAGCTAAATTATGTTAGAAGTTATGCCAGATAAAAACTAGTTTCGTCAATATTGGCTATTTTTTAGATTTTTGACCCCTGGAGGCTAAACTATCTGACGTCTTACTCCACATAGTGCTATAAATGGACTATAGTTTCTTTTTCTGCGCCGCTCTAGCTCTTCTGGTTCTCGAGTTAGAGCGTCTGAAGCTGAAATTCATCAAAATCCTGGAAAACCGGGAACATTTTCACTTTGATGACCTCTGATGACTTTCAAAAGGTGCTTCCTATCAGACATAGCACTGCACTTCAGGGCGAAAACTGATAAAACATAGGTACCTAATAGAGATGGGTAGCGGAGTTGCGGAGTTGCGGAGTTGCGAGTTGCGGTTTCAAGATCTGAAAAATAGTTTCGGAGTTGCGATTGCGCTTTGGGTACCTCAGGTTGCGGAAGGTAGCGGTAGCGGTTTCCAAATTCCGGTAGCGATGCCC